CCCCTTTGCATATAGTGTCGGATATACATAACTTCACCTTCTCCGATCACATAACCCACTAGTAAATGATTCAATATTGTTCAAAATTCCGCTCTGGTGCCGTTGTTCTATTTTTATATTAATGTTTGCAATTGGGTTAAGAAATTATTCGCGAGTGAGATGGAAAATGGGCGCCAGGGTTGACGCTCTTCTTTCAGACCCCCCTCCTTTTTATTTTTTTCTTGTTGTTCTTGGCATTTATCACACATTTTAATTTGTAATTGTGTTGTTGTCGTACTTGAGTTGCTGTTCTTTCTGCATTATTTATACGAAATTTTATTGTTGTTCTGCTGACGGATTTTTGTTGTTATTTTGTTGGTTTTTTTTATTTGCCACCGTGTTAGGGCGAAATATTTCGTTTCTGTTTTGGTTTCGGCTCTCTGTTCTCATTGTCAGTCGCCGTGGCTCTTTGTGTTTTGATTACGCAAATTAAAAGCGTCTAGACAGGGCAGACGAACTGGGGAAAGGGTTTTGGCTTTGGGTCTAGGGAGCGACTGATCGAGCGAGGGGATGACCGACTGAACTGACCGACGACAGCGCCTTATGCAATCGCATTTTTTGAATCGTCATGTTCATTATGTTTCCTAAAAATCTAGTGGGTTGCCGATTAAATATTATCAAAATAGTTAAGTCTTTGCAAAAAATTTGGAAATCATTTTTAACTAAAGAATAAGCTCTACTGAAAAAAATTAGAGCAAATATTTTAAAACTTTAAGTTATTTTTTTAAGGTGGAGGACGGCTTTTACAATCTAGAAATGTTTTTTTTTTTTCATTTAAATAGGACTTAACCATTTTTATAACTCTAACGTCGTTTTTTTTCGAATAGCATTTTCAGCCAATAAAAGATCCTCTATATTTATTTTCAATAAATATTTCAACACGTAACAAGTCGTTGGCACTTCGGGGTAATTTTGTGTTACGTGGAATTCGCAACGTTGATGAAATCGGCCGGCATAAATAAACAAACAAAAGAGCGGTTAAAGAAAAAATAAAACAAATCAAATGGCGAGCAAAGTGCAAAATAATTAAGCGGAATTTTTGAATCGACGGATAATGATGATAGTGCAAATAAAGCGAAGCGTGCTTAAGGACTTAAAATTGATCTAAATCTTTGATTAATTTTGGTATAAGTGATAATATAATGAATCCTAATCAATCGGTAATTTCCGTAAATAAATGAAACAATAAACAGCCATTTGTTCTAAGATTTATTCTGCTGCTGCCGAGTTCATTGATCTCGTCGTCTAATAATCAAGTGGTAAGTGACCTGCGACATCAAATTGACCCCAGACAGCTGCTAAGTCTCTTTGGGGATAAAGAGGTCGATGGCCGCCTCCTCAGACTCCCCAGACTCTCCAGCCTCGCCAGCACTTCATTACAGGATAATTGAATATGTGCGATGATAATTTCATTTTACGCTTTATAAACACAAACTGCACATTACACCCTCCTCCTCCTGCCTCCTGTCTGCTTTTGGCAGGGGCAATTAATGCGCCCACAAGCGAATTTCTGCTGATAACAAGTGTATTCAAGTAGTCAGAGGGCCCCTGCAACTTAATTATCCGTCTGGACGAGCGTGGGATAAAGCCCATAGTCGGTATAGTCCACAGCCGACCTTCATTGAGGAACAAGGACCAGCGAATAAATCATACAATATCGATTGTCGTGAAAGGGAATAAATGCATTTTTTCTTGCGAAATTCAATGGCCCACGCAAAAATCTCCCAAAGAGAGGGGGAAAATACCTTTTCATCTTCAATTTAACCCATTTTACTTAATATATTGTTTTTAGCACATTATATAAAAAAAATCAGGGTTAACAAAATAATATAATTTTGAATAAGATATGCATAGTTGATAAAAAAAACTAAATTCCTAAAGCCCCCCTATAAAATGATTCCCCCGTTCAGTAGTTTCCCCATTTCGTATTGTTTTGCTTGAAAATGGGTTAAGCTTCGTCTTTATTAGTCAGAATTTGCGTTTTATTCGAATTCGTTGTAATTATTTACATCGAAGATTGCGTTGACGAGACGCACTGAAGGCAAATACTTGGTTTGGCGGGGACTTACGATTTCCATGGACGACGATGATGATGCTTTGAATGCCAAAGTGGCGGCGGCGACTCGAATATATGTAGCATACCAGTATACCTACGACAACTGTCAGTTTGTATAATCTATATCTGTGGGATTGTTGTCTTGCAGTTCGCCTGTGTTTTTCAGTTGTTTTTGTTTCTGTTTCCTCGGTGTTTTTGTTTGGCTTTCGTTTTGTTATTGCTGTCGTCTGAAGCGCCTTATCGGCGGCGCCTCCAGAAAATATGTCACACGTACGCGTCAAAATTTCTCAGAAAATAAACCGCAAAATAAGCATGATACGCCTGATATGATACTTTGATACGGGGTGGCACCGTGGGCGATTAAGCGATAGTCGCCGGTGGGGCATGAGTAATTTCAATTTCAATTTCAGTAATTACAAAAATACACCAAGAATTTCATTATAACTATGACCAGGCACAGGTTTTCCATACTATAATATTTGAACCAACTATGATTTTATTTTTCTATGAAGAGGTATAAAATCATACATAATAATATATTTTTTTATTTTCACTCTAAAAAAGATAATTTAACAGTTAAACATAAATATTTTATTCTCAATTTTCACTGGTCCTAAACACTTTTTAAGTGCTTACGCATAGAACGGATTATTTAAAAATATATACGCCTTGCTTTCTGCAAAACAAAACCATAAATTTGTTTGCTCCTTAAAAAGAGCTGAAAACAGTTATGGAGCCCCATAATGTACAAACCTCAAATGAACTTCCTTAATACAACTGCAGGATGAAAGGGGTAATCCCGAGAAAAATAAATAATAAAACGAAACGCACATGCATAAACCACAACAAGGTGTATAAAAATCGCATGCGCAATCGCTTTTATTGCATTTGATGAACATTTAATTTTGATTTAATTTTTAATGATGCCACAACAATGGTTGTGTGTGTATTTATTTTTTTGAATTGAGCTACGTGATAATCGGGAATATTGCCCATTACTACGACCACCCACAGATGAGCAAATAACAATGACAAACGATGTTCATATATGTCGGAATGTTCGTTTATAAAATACTGAATGCTTTTTTTGCTCCATGCAGTTGCATTTTGCAAATTGCCAAACGGCTTACTTATTTATTTATTTTTGTTGAAATTTTAATGACGACCTCCGACGGAGCTTCAGTATGGCAAATAAACAAATTAACTCTAAAAATCATTGAATTTGTAATTACATATTGATGTGTGCGAATGCGTGTGTCTGCGATTGTTTAATGTAATTGTTTTGTTTATCATTGTTGCACTTATTCGTGCTGGATAATTGCAGGTTGGTTGAGGGGTTCGCAAACAGCAAAATGTCTAAAAATGCACCACAAATAAATCCATTAAATCCATCGATTTTGCAAACGAAGTGTTAAAGGGTTTTTTAATTTAAGAATTTAAGAATTTGCTTAATTTTCTGATGACTCAAGAAACTATTATTTTAGTTCCATTGTAAACATTTGTGATTTATGGGTAATTATAAGTTTCTAGCTTAGCTTAATTTCTTTAAATTTGGTAAAGATCAGTCCGTTTCATTGAATTAAGCCTAATTAAAAACGGTTTATATTTCAAAGAATACTTTAATTCTGAATTTTTGGAAAAGATAAGGCAACTTATTTTTTGTTTAAATTTCTGATGACCCAACAAACTATTATTTTAGTTTCATTGTAAACATTTGTGATTTATGAGTAATTATAAGTTTCTAGCTTAGCCTAATTTCTTTGAATTGGCTAAAGATTAAGGCGTTTCAATGGATTAAACATAATAAAATACAGTTTGAATTTCAAAGAATAGTTTAATTCTGAATTTTTGGAAAAGATAAGGCAGCTTCAATGAATTAATAAATATAAATTATACGAATCTTTGATGACGCCATATATTTCTGCCGAATGAGATAAACATAAATAATATTGTATTTTTGATAGCAGTTTAACTTTGTTTTCTTCGAATTGCGTTTACATTTTGTTATTCCGCTTGTTTTTATTTTGATTTCGCTTTTGTTTAATAATAGCCTTGTACTTTTGTACACAATTACTCAATAATTTCCCCGCAATAACAACTATATTGGCCGCAATGTCATCATTCCTCGCGTTCTATTGACTGGACTGAACTGGTTGGATAATTATTTAGTTATTTATTAATAGACTCACGCTAGAAGCATGCAAGGGGCACGGGAGCAATTAGGCAGTTGTCAACAATAAAATTTATTAATAATATATAATAGACGCTCATAAAGTCGTGTTTCAGTAGATGCTATCGCCCCAAGGCTGCTCAAGATTTGTGTTTAGATAACGCAAAGTATGCGCTTCCCACGAGATTTGATTTCGTTGGAATTATGGTTAGTATATAAAGCGATAGGGCATGATAGAACCCATCTATAGTGTATTTCGCCTGCGTTCGAAGAGTTCCCTTAACAATGAAAGTCGCGATAATATCCTGGATAGCTTTGGCGATGCTAGTGGTGAGATTTCTTATAATCAATTCCCTGGGGAAAAGTTTGACTTAGGATTAACTTTAAAGTATTTAAATCATTTTAATTTTTTCTTTTTAGAAACTTAAGAATTCGCGCTTACCCTTAGAATACCTTTCATTTGATCTAGGGAATTTTTAAAATTACAAATTCAGTCCTTGCAATGGCTTTTTTATAAACTTTACACACTAATTAATAAAATTTAAAACAAAGACTACTTTAATATTTTTAAAACATTTTATTAAGTTTAAAAACTATATTTAACAGCTTGACATAAAAATAGTACTTTCTTAAAAGTATATTTAGAAAAATTAAAAATATTATTTTCCTTTCAATGATAAATCGTCTCTTGGGGGTTACTTGAATACCCAGTGATTTACTGCCTATTAACCACTCCCCTTTTCAATTAGTGCATCGCCGAGGCTCAAGTCCCGGGTCAACCCGAGGCCATGGGTGCCGCCCAAGGGGGCATCGGTGCGGCGGCGGGAGGCGGCGGACAAATTGGAGCCCAAGGCGGTGGAGCGGCCGATGCCGCCCAGGAGGGACCCGGAGCTGGGATGGCCGCTGGCATTGGAGCAGGGGCAGAAGTGGGCGCCAGTGCCCAAGCCGGAGGAGCTGGATAGCGCTGAGGGCGGCACTTCCGTTTGAAATTCCATTTGCTTGCTTTTCTATTTGTTCGAGAACCACTTGTGCACTGGAAAATAATTTCTGGGAAAAAAAGGGGCCAATATTTCAGTATCAATACCCGCTTGTTGTTAAATAATGTTTATCGCACTCTGATGGCGCCAGTTTTTTGGGTAGCTCAGTGTCATAATTGATTTGAAATTCCACCCACCCCTTCTAAACCCCCTTCTGAAACACCTTCCCATCCCCTTCCCCACCGCATACAAATCGGCTCACTTCAAATAAAAGTCCCACACAAATGAAAGCCAACATATACGAATCGTTTTGGCAGTTTAAATTCCATTTAATACCATTTTATGAAATACACTCAAAATGTATCGATTGTACCGCCGACAGGTGTATTTATATGCCCGGGGCGCAAAAATAGAAATAGAAAACTCATCAGCAAATGTTAAAAATATCAGCACATTTGCACATAAATCAAGTGATCAATAAATAAATAAAATATGGCAAGCACTGACACCCACAATTTCAATATTGTGAAATATGGCAAGTGAAAAAGGAAAATAAGATCTGTTTGCTGATTGTTTAAAGAGAAGGCTAGGGTTTGACTGATTGGGTGCGGGACAGGTAAAATAATTCTAGGTAAATGTAAAAGATAGTCTCTTACAAAGTTTTATATTTTTAGCCGCTCAACGTGTATTGCATTTCCATAAATGCCATAATTTCCGTAAAACTGCATAACCCAAACTGTAAACAGTGTTTCCATAACACTTGTGTAACTTGGCCGTAACTTTCTGCATAATCCTGCATTTGAACTTGAGAACAGAACTTTGCCCTGCATAAGAGAACTGTCCTTGACATGGGCCACATTGGGTGAGCTGAGCTCACCTGTCTCTGCCTCTGGCCAGTGAGTAACCACACCCCCTCCTCACCCTTAGATAAGAATTCTTTCACCTGTCTCTGCACTGGGGCCTTCCTGCGGCGCTGAACTTGAAAGTGGTCACGTGCGAGGCGCCGATGTGCCGATATAATTGCCAATATTATCGCTGGCGCGCTTTGAACTGATAAACATATTTCGTGCATAACAGTGCCGCACAGTGGGACCAGAGTGAGGAAAAACTGTTGAAAAATGTTAGTTTTCCACGTACAATTTTAAAAACAATCTAATAAGAACAGTTTCGTTTATTATAAATGCTGAACCCATGTTATAAGATATGTTCGAAATTGTACAAGGATATATTCAATTTATCAATTTATTATGAATACCAAACATGTTATTTAATGTTATAAAATAAATATTGTTTAGATAAAACTCCCTATCAATTTATTATGAATACCAAACATGTTTTATAATTTCTTAAAAAAAAATTATAAAAAAATCTCATTTTAAAGACAAATGTACCTGAGACCACGGTAGCATGTGTGTGGCCTGACCCGGACTGCCTTTATGTTTACTTTCATTCGCAATTGGAAATGCAATTGCCAGGTGCCGCGGCAAAGTTATGGCCAAGTTACCCGTGTAGCTTATGGTGTAGGGAATCGTGTAATTCCAGTGGCGAGCCATTAAAATTGATCAACTGCTAAGATTTCCGCTTTGGCTTCAGAGTTCTCCAAGTTTCAGAGTTTCTAGAGCGAGTGCAAGACTCAAATTCCCACAATTTGCACTGCGCTTGATTTATGTTCGTTTCCTGCTCACGCAAATTGAATTTGCCCATATGCCACACATATATTGGAAAGGGCACCCGGCACCCGGGTATTGGGTATTATACCAGGCCATAATGGCTTCGATGGGGCTATCGCAAATCGGCCATAGGACATTATCCAGTCCCATGGCAGACAGTCATAAGATATTCGCCATGTCAGTCGTAAATCATTCACAAATCGCACTCACGTGAGTTCATTGGGCACTCACATACGATGTCTGCATCGGTTCTTATCGCGAGTGACCCATATACATATATGAATGCATGATGTACCTGACAGGTATACTTATTCACAAAGAAAAAAACATTATAGAGTTAATAAATAGGTTTTAAGTTAAGAAGGAGTCAAGAACAATTGTTCTTAAAATAAAAACAGTGCTCTCAAATCAAGGACAATTTTGTCTTGAATCAAGAACATGTGTTCTTACTTTAAGGAAGAAAAACGAACTTATATTAACAACTTTGGTTTTAAATTTTGACTGCATTTTTTCCCTCAGTGCATGTACATGTACTTTTTCTGTGGGCTTTATAAATATGCGCCGTCATTAGCTTTGGTCTAATCTCTCTGAAAAGTGCGCATTACCAGAATCGAATTGCGTTTTTGGCCAAAAGCAAACTAAGTACGGAAAAGTACAAATATTTAGCACAACAACGTGGCCCAAATTAAATTTCTTGTAAAATTGCCATGAATAAATTAACTTGAACTATAGTAGATAGTCATTGGATTTTTGTTTATATTTTTAAGTTTGCAAAAGCATTGCAAATATCCTAATGAGTTTTCGTCTAATTAACATCCTAATGACTTTAGCTTATATATAGAAGACAAGGGGTTGCCTTTAAAATAATAAGCTATTTTCATTCCGAAGGGGGTAGAAAATTCTATTTGCTGCACGTGTGCACATGGGAAATGTAAACAAATTTAGATTGGCTGGAAACATATTGAAAATACTTGGCTAATTATTGCCTGGCTAAAATTAACACATTTTCATTTGGTATTTCCGAGAACCTATACTAAATTCTGTAAATTCTGTAAAAAGAGATAATTCATTGTATTTTAAAATGGCTTTCTAAATGCATTTTAAATATTTGTAATATTTAAAATACATCTCCTAGCCATTAGTAAATCCTACTTAATTCTAAACCCATTTTGATAATACTTATTATTAATTTTGATTAGCTTAGATTAGATTTTGCAATCTTCGAAGTTCAATGTTTATATTATGCAATCTATTTTCTAATTTCTAAGTACCATCGCCGATCGATTGAAACCAGCGACTCATATGCATGTGTGTTACTTTACGATTGTTTTGTTTTGATCACTAAACAAGCATGTTTAATTATATTTACACTGGCCACCATCGCATGCATGCGAGGAATATGCGCCGTTAGAAGCTTGCTAATTGCCCCACGAGTTGTACTAAATATAGAATGCCAAAACTGCGTACTATGTATAGTATGTACTGTATAGCCGTATTGTTGATTAAACCCCTGAATGCATCGATAATGACTTTTCCGTCTCGCAGTTCGCACTTTTTTCCCTGCCGACTTTGGGCCGTAAACTACGCAATTGATGGAGTGTAAATGAACGTAAACGTTGCAATCATTACGGCGGCGGACTGGCCTGGCCATTCGCTATTTGTATCTGTCAGATACTTTTGCACTCGCGCTTGATTTATGAACTGCGAAAAGCAGCAACAAATGACAACAACACAAGCGACAATTACAGTTTACTTGCCATGTTTATTGTGCTCAATTGAGTAGGTAAATCACTGAAATGTAATTTCCCCGGCATAATTAATAATACGCAGCGAATGCGAGTGTCAGAGATTGAGTTAACCCAAAGGTGATATCAAGTCTGTATACATTTTGAATAAATATATAATGCAAACACTAAGAATACTAATGAAAAATCAAGAGCAAATCTTCTCACTTTTTTGAGAGCAAGTGTTCTTGAAATCAAGCGTTAAGTTTTCTAATATTTTTCTTAGAAGATTTGTAAGTCACTTAAAAGATCCAAAGAGTAGACCCCCCTTTTCATGTCACAAACCTTTTTAAAAGCCATACCCGAGGCGGTCCAATTGAAGTCAAAAGATCTAATTTAAAACGATTTGTCTCGAGTCTAGACTCGAAGCGATCCGCTCGAGCGGTGCCAATTAACATTGCGAGTACAGCGATAACCAATACGTTACGATCCCGATTTAGAAACTTCAATTTGTGTGCCCGTGCAATTGAAGAACGGATACGCGGCTTTTCGTTTTAAAAATAGCCATCTCAATATTTATTTTTGGCCACTTTGGCCTCTTATTCGGTACTCGGTACTCTATGTACTCGCGCTTCCGTCGCTGTTTCTCGCTTTGATGTTTATTTTTAAACCCCACCAAATGCTTGAAATCATTTTTGAAGCTAAGTGGTTGTTTGTTGTGTTAATAACATAAACAGCAGCAGCGGCAATTCAATCTCAAGAATGCGAAACGGTCAAAGACTGAATGGTAGATGTGTCTGAATGGGATTTCGAATGGGAATCGAAGTTGACAACTCTCGAACAAGTTTTTTGCCAATTTTGTTTATTATTAGATTTGCCAGATTATTTATAATTTGCTTGCCAATATTGGTGGCTGGCCAATAAATGATTTTAATTATTTATGCCGGTGATTTTACGGCGCAGTTGAGGTATTATTAGTTGCCTGGGTAATTTATAGCTTTGAAGAATAAATTGATATATTGACTTTGAAAATATGAATTTGAGAACTGCGAAAAAAGTGTATGCAATATTCATTCATGCTTTTATTGCTCGATTATTTAATCAATATATACTATGTACCACCTATGCATTCCATTCGAAATAGTCCTTATCAATGTGACCTTGGGGCATTCGAAATCTGCAAGAAATACGATCCAAAAGACACTCGCCAAGGGTGCAAATAAATTTTTGTTTGGCAAAGAGATTGGCAAATAAAATAATCGATATTTGGTGAGCGGAAATAGCTGCTGTATTTGAATTTTCAGCGCTGATAGCATGAATGAAATATGCCGGTTGCCCCGAAATGAGAATCTCCACCTGTTGAGCTTCGGTTTTTGGTAGATTGGCTTTTGTTCCTCTCTTTCCTCCATTCTTTCTCTTTGCCACGCGCGAATAAATTTGTTTATAATTCGTTTTGGCGCCCCGCCCCTTATCAACACATCGCCCTTATCTATCGCCTGGCATTGAAAGTTCCCCGAAGTCGCTGGCGATCGTTTACGACGATCATCGGACTAAAACATGAAACTAGAAGCCCTGTTCGAGGTGAAAGAACTTTTCGCCGGCGTGTGTGTCAGACAGCCGATCATGCGCTCTGCCTTGGGGGAAGCTCCGCTCAGGAATCCACCCAGAAAACACCCCACAAAATACCACCCAAGCCCCCTTTTCCATCCGATAAGTGCGTGACTTGGGCACGCGTCTGCGAATGGAATTTTTCGAGCCGCAATCAGCGGGCAAAACTAATGAATCTGAAATTAATACGATTTCAGCCTGGGGAATGCGAGTTTCCATTTTGTCACATGCTTTTTAATAGTAGTGCTAAATTGCTTGTGCTAATTTTCGCAAGACCCAAAAGTAAACTTGATTTTGGCAAACTGAAATTGGGGGTAATTCGCTGGTGTACGGTAATTAATCACTCGCTTATCATTTGTAATCACACTTTCATTAAGAAGTTTGTTTACCGTTTTCGACAGAACCCTTACTCACGTTATGTTGGGCGAAATAGTAGTTAATATTTTACATAGCAAAATAAGTTAATAAATTCAGCAAATATTTAATAATTTTTTTATGTTATTTATTTATGGGTTAACTTTATGAATTTACAAATGTATGGCCGTG